GAGAGAGAGAGAGAGAGAGAGAGAGAGAGAGAGAGAGAGAGAGAGAGAGAGAGAGAGAGAGAGAGAGAGAGAGAGGGGGTGGGTGAATGAGACAGAGAGTGAGAAAGGGAGAGAGAGAGAGAGAGAGAGAGAGAGAGAGAGAGAGAGAGAGAGAGAGAGAGAGACGTAGTGGGGTTACTTTAATGACGGATTTTTCTTCGGTGGTTAGAACTGTTCCGCATTGAACAATGGGCCATTAAATCTATTCGTATACCGCTTTAGGCTATGTTCTACTAAATGTTACCCTTTATTATCTCTTATCATCACCCTCTTTATTGGTGGCATAGTTTAATAATAGGTAGTTCTGACTTTTAAAGTGCTCCGTGCGATCCAGCTATAAATGATTATGTTGTCATATATATATATATATATATATATATATATAGTAGGTGTTTCTCACCAAACTCACACTCGCCTACCCGAGCTGCTTTTGACAGATACAAGAAACCCCACAACGTCTTGTGTGGGATTTTTTTCAAACCAACCTACATAATGCACAAGTGCTATATTATTGATATCGTTATTGGTAATTACCCGTGACCTACCAGTAGTGCAATTATTCAGCTATGTTGGACCAATTTTCATTTTGTTGTACATTTTAAATTGCCAATAGAGGTCAGAGAGAAGGGAGGCGGAGGAGAAGGGGGGAAGAGATGGAGACAAGGAGGGGTGGAGCAGGGGAAAGGGCGAGAGACACACAGAGAGAGAGAGAGAGAGAGAGAGAGAGAGAGTGAGAGAGCGCGCGTATGTGTGCGCGCGCGCACGTGTATGTCTGTGCGGTCGTGTGTGCGTGCGAGCGTGCCTGCGTGCACGCCTGCGTGCGTGTTCGCGTGCGTCTGCGTGTGCGCGCGTGTGTGTATGAGTGATACGAGTGAGAATGAGAGCGTGAAAAAATGAGCTGGTCGAGGCTGAGGTTATGCAGCTGCATGGAGTGAGGGTTAGAGACGGGCCCTACTACTGATGTTTTCCCCCTGGTAAACTCTTAAGTCTTGCTTTTAGGGTATGAGGATTTGTTCTGCGGTTGCAGCCTGGGTGCTGTAGAAGTGCTGTATTGCCATCTCAGCCATTAAATTCGTTCGAATTCAAGCCTTAGGCTATGCCCTACTAAAATATACCAGAATTTTAGTGCCGGCTTTATTAGTGGCATATCAGTGTAATAATCGATTGCCGACTCTTTCAAATCCAAACTCTGCGTTTATGATACGGCAATGTTGCCATTGCTCATATAACCACACACGCACATATACGCCATTCCCACTTCCCCGTCTCCGCGCGCACGCACGCATACGCGCACGCACCTCACACGCACGTAAACGCGCGCACACACGCATACGCGCACACACCTCGCACGCACACGCACGCACGCACGCACACACACACACACACACCAACCTATAGCACGTACGGACGCAAACATTTGCACACCTTTCTCGCACACGCACGCACGCTCGCATGCACATGCACGCACCGATTTCCCTAGCGAGCGCGGCGTCGATGCCCGTCCAGCATATCTGTTCTAGCATCGGCTGTTGCCGGGTGATTCAAGCTGGTGACTCACAGCACGAGTGAGTGAGTGAGTGTCCAGTGCGATGGGGCATCGGCTCCCTATCCTGCGTCACAGTGCACGCGCGCGTTGTGAGCGATTGATTTTTGATGTGTGCATGGCTCTGGGTGCATGCGTTTGCTCAGAAGTTCATTCCGAAGAAAATGTTTGTCATACACTGCTGCCTCGGCTGTTGTTATGTACCGTACGCTGGTTGTTCGCGTGCCGATGCGTTTTTATTTTTCGTTTTTTTGTTATGGTATTTTACTAGGGGGTAGTATTGGTTTGGGAATGCCTTGGATGTAGTGTGAAAACATTTGCAACTAATTTACGTGTTCTGTGTATGAAATTGAATAAGCTGATTAATTAATGTAATTTTGGTTGATGAACTCTTAGTCATCTATCGTGCTCAAATCATTTTTGCACGGGTGTTTTTTTAAACTCACTTGTGCCTGGGTTATTTAATTATTTAAGTTCACCTAAGATTTTCAATGTGCATGTGTTTTTACATGTAACCTCTGCAGATGTACATACTCTCATAAATCTATAAAGACATCTGCCACCATTGCTGTCTATTGGACAGTAATCCACATAGATAACTTGATTTCGTCCACATCATGTATAATACTATAGCTATTTTGAATTTCAAAATGTCAACATCGATTCTGTTACATATAGTCTTTCTATTTTAACGAAACTGAATGCCCATTTTACTGTGATCTTTTTAGGTTTTAGTACGTGCGCACATGTATCTAACAAATACTTCATTGTTCTGACAGAATAAATTATCCAAGATTAAGATTCACGAGGACCCGGCCGGGGGCATTTACGTCGCTGGGGTCACTTCACGGCTGGTCACATCTGAAAATGACGTAAGTAGTATCTTTAATTTTGTGTTCATCAAAAACCCAAAGTCATCAAAGTTACGATGCAAGATATGGTCCTATCGTGTATATTTATAGACACAATGTTGCTTCATAATTCTGCAATCATTCTGTACTTGCATATAAACCGAGAACTGCAGTTTAACCAGCAGTAATGCAGTAGAAGTATTTCGTGAATTAAATATTTTATTGACATGTTAAACCAATCTATTTGCATTTGAGCTGCATATGACTAATTCCAACTGGTTCATGATAGTATGAAAATGTCTATGGCTTCATGAGTCTTACAATGTCAGTTCATGAATGAAGCTGTGCAATAACTAAATACACAACGTTCATCTGTGGTTACCACAATATTTGCACTCGAGAAAATAATGTGTTCATGGCGCGGTCGATATTTTATTTGTCAAATCATACCATGTTTTCTGTAATTACATTAAGGTATTGTTTCGATGGCATAGTAAGGAATGGCTGTTGCCGATTCCTTTTGATTCATTGCAATCATTTATTTCAGACCAATGATTTGAAGAGCTTAGTAGCTTGCGGCTGTGTTACTGTTCATATTATGTTCACTGATGGTTCTCTCTCTCTGCCGCACAGACATTGGATGCACTGAAACAGGGTGCATTGTCACGAACAACGGCCTCCACACAGATGAACAACATGTCATCGCGATCCCATGCCATCTTCACTCTTCACATAAAACAACAAAGAGTTTGCAAGAACCAGGTATGTGTGTGTAGAAATAAACAGTATGTATGACCCAGCGGCATACGTTTGTTTGTGCGTGCGTGCGTGCGTGCGTGCGTGCGTGCGTGCGTGCGTGCGCGCGTGCGTGCGCGCGTGCATGTTGCGTGCATGCGTGCGTGCGTGCGTGTGCATTTATGTGCGCATGTGACTGTGTCTGTGCACGTCTGATACATATTCTAATAATTTTGAGTGGAATGACACTAGTCAGTAAGATGTATTGTCCAAACGTGAAATCCTTTTTATCGGCTTGTTTCACGCAGCTTGTTCGCAGGAGGTACAGACAGAGAGTAAGTACAGTGCTTATGCCTCGTGGACCTCTCGGTTCATTTAACTGATGCTCACCACAATAGGAACCATATGGCATGACCTTTGAATGGCAGTAATGTTTCACCTGTAGGTCCAAAATCGCAGCAAATGCTTTGCCTCGATTCTCAATTCCAGTTTCACACTAGCATAATGTCAGGAGCGTATAATATAGACTATATTATACACTCCTGATAATATTATAACAGACATCGTTTACGTGTTGTGTACGTTTGACCTCAAATCGCACCAGATGCCCTGCCTCGATCTTCAATCCCAATTTCACGCCAGCATAATATTATAGCAGACATTATCGTTTATGTTTTGTGTGTTTGCAGGACACCGATGCTGACGAAGACACGACGATGGAGTCCGGACAACTACCAGAGTTTGAGGCCCTGTCTGCCAAGTTCCACTTTGTCGATCTGGCTGGTTCAGAGCGGCTAAAGCGCACCGGAGCGACCGGCGACCGAGCCAAGGAGGGCATCTCCATCAACTGTGGTCTGGTGAGTGTATACCGTAGTACACGACAATAGAAAATAGGCTGTGGCTACCCGGACACGCAGTTCCCAGGCTACTCGTCCGGTCATATATTTCTTATGCGAACCCAACTATATTTTTTTCAGTAAAAACAATAAACAATAAGTTTTTACCATAATATTACTAACCTTAAGGTATTTTATCTACCTTAAGGTATTTTACTAACCTTAGGTATTTTATCAAAAAAATATGTTTTTGTAACTTTTGAAGCAATTGTAAATCCAGTAAAATTAACGATTTGAGAGGGGGCGTGGCCTAATCGTGACGTGGATTTGGGAATCTGTGCTGAGCTCTGTAATGGATGACCGGACACGTAGCCACTGCGTAGAAAATAACGTGGAACCACTAGTGTATGGCACTAAATTATGATGAGAATATATATGCTTAATGCCATCCACTAGTGCAGTGGTTCTTAACCTTTTTTGAATCATAGACCCCTTTGAGAATCTGGTGAAAGCTATGGACCCCTCCCCAGAAAAATGCACATAAGCACAATGGGGTTCACGGACCCCCTGAAGCAGGTTAAGAACCCCTGCACGAGTGTATGACACTAAATTATGAGGAGAATATAGGCTGGCTTGAAATTGTAACATTAATAAAACTGTTGTGATTTATTAGATTTTATTCTGTGCACTTGGTGAGAGCATATGTGTAGCACAGTGCAGTGAGTACTGTTTCCTTGTTACCAGCTCGCCCTGGGCAACGTGATATCAGCCTTGGGTGACAAAGCCAAGAAAGCAACGCATGTGCCTTACAGAGACTCGAAGCTGACGCGGCTGTTGCAGGACTCTCTGGGTGGAAACAGGTATGCAGGCCATCTATATGGCATTAAATACTGTATGGCTAGAGGGTTGCTGTAAATGTAGACAACAGGTTTTTTGGTCTTATAACCAGTAGATTTTTAATTTAGGGATTAAATTTGTATGCAATATTAGGAATTAAATCGGATTTGTAACTGCAGCAAAATAATAACAACCAGTAGCACATCAACTGTTATAATGATTGTTCTAGCGTTTTAGTATTTTAACATAGTTTATGTGCTCTTTTTACTATAACTATAAGTATGTTACTAACAATTTTCATAGAATAATAAAGATATGTAACCTTTATTGAAATCTAATCACCGTGGGATCAAATATACCAAAAACCCAGCTGGTCACGACTAAGGCACCCACATGCAGGATAAATACTGCATTAGGAGTGGCCGCAATAATAATACAGGCGTGCTCGCCCAAAAAACTTCAATGTAACAGTTTCTAAAATCCTCCACGAGGTGGCGCCACGTGACGCAAACGCTTTTTCGTCTGCTTCGCAGCCGCACGCTGATGATCGCCTGCATCGCGCCGTGCGACCGCGATTTCATGGAGACGCTGAACACGCTGAAGTACGCGAACCGCGCGCGCAATATCAAGAACAAGGTCGTCGTGAACCAGGACAAGACGAGCAAGCAGATCGCTGCGTTACGCGTAGAGATCATCGCGCTGCAGAACGAGCTGATGGAATACAAGACGGTGAGTGCGACCACAACTACCAGCATAATAATAATAATAATAATAATCATAGTATTAATGATGATGATAGTAATAATGATAATGATGGAGTACAAGACGGTGAGTCAGCGCAATCGGTGGAGCACTACGCTGTAGTCAATCATGTCATCTTGTTCAGTAGGAGACAGTGAGTGAGCACAGCCGGTGGAGTATACCTGTAGTAAACTGAGTATGACTGGTAGTTGATCATGTCATCTAGTCAAGTAGGAGATAGTGTGTGCGACCATAACTCCAAGCATAATAATAATAATAATAATAAAAATAAAAAAATAAATAATGTATCCATATGTATAAGGAAATGAGATAGCGTGTGATCGATGTATGGGTGCAGTATGGCTGCAGGAAGGCCTGGGGGTGGTCTACTGATATGATATAAGGGGTATTCTGCAGAAGCTGCTGCAATCTACATGACTGGATATGTGTTGTCACAAGCATAATTGATGGGTTGTGTTTGTGAGCTCTTCTGCTAGCATGTGCGCAGTAACACTGGCACGAACGCTGTTCGTACGTTTACTGTTCGTAACACGCCTTCGTTTCAAACTCTCAGGGTAAGCGACAGGTGGACAGCGAAGGGCTGGAACATGTCAACGATATGTTCAACGAGAACACCATGATGCAGGCAGAGAACAACGGATTGCGCGTGCGCATCAAGGCCGTGCAGGAGACGGTGTCTGCACTGACGCAGCGCAATGCCATGCTACTGTCCGACCGCACAATAGGCGGCTGGATCAATCACGAGGGTGCGTTTGTGTACTCACATGTCACAACCCGTTCTACATTCCTATCTAGGCACACTGCCCTTTAATACTGTTGCAAGAACAAAGCGGTTTGCACAGAACCTTAAGCGGTGTCACTAGAATCAAAAAGACATATAAAGACATAAAACAAGTTGTGTTATCTTGTATCTTCATGGTCACCTAGGCTTGGCTGCATATGGCTGTGTAGCAATATGTTAAATGGCTGTGGCAGCATTAGTAGCGGTAGTGCTGTAGTGTCAGTAATAGCAGTACTATTACTTCTACTACTGATGCTGCTAGAAGTAGTGGTTGTGGTAATAGCAATAATAATAATAATGATAATGATGATGATAATAATGATGGTGATGGTGATGATGATGATGATGATGATGATGATGATGATGATGATAATAATAATAATAATAATAATTTTGCTCTCTTTCTCTCTCTTGCTATAATTAGATGGGGAGACAGATGAAATGGCTTCAATGATCCAGAACTACATCATGGAGATCGAGGAACTGCGTGCGAAACTGCTGGAGGCTGAGGCGTCGTGCGATGCCTTGCGGCGACGGGAGGAGATGCTGGCCCGCTCCCCAAGCCGCACTCCTCTCTCTCCCTTTCACATGCCCTCCTCCTCTGTCATGTCCGGTAAGGCTGCATGCTGCTTTATATGTGTGTATAATGTATATCTATCTGTCTATCTTCTATCTATCTATCTTTATCTATCTAT